AATTTTAATATTATATTTTATTATAAATATATTTACTTGTTTTTATGATTATCCAATTATTATAACTCCCAAATAATAAATTTATGATGCGGCACTCAATACCGTGCGCGCCCACTAACGTTCGGCCAGGAGAAAAAATTGAAAGTCCTGTTGATTCATCGCAGTCATCTTGATCGTTTCATTATATGTCTTCTCGCTGCTAATATCTCTTCGTGAACCTGGCACCCGACTTTCGAAAAATTAACTTTTTTATATGGAAACAGTTAGTATGTAGTTTGTTTGTAGTTGTTTGTAGTAACAATAATTTCGTTTGTAGTTAAATCGATTAAAAGATATCAAAATTTAAAAAAATGATCCTTATTAACCCGACATTAAGATATTTTAAATCCGCAGTCGATTCTAAAAAAAACTACGCAAGCAGATTTGCGCTATCTTAAAAAATGACAATGTTCACTCTTGGCCATTTGTTTAAATTGTTATAACTTTTGACTACGTTCGGCTACAATCGACTACATACTAACTGTTTCCATATAAAAAAGTTAATTTTTCGAAAGTCGGGTGCCAGGTTCACCCGGTGAAGTGTTGCTAACGTCATAATGATGATTCAAGATGATTATGGTGAACCAGTAAGAGTCTTAAAAATTAAATTAAATTAAATTAAATTAAATTAAATATACACATATAAAATATATATCAAAATATATATCAAATATATGTCACACATCACATAAAAAATAATAAATAAGATTCTATTTTAATATCATAAATTCTTCTTTAAATAGTTAACTTTTATATTTCTTGTCTAATAAAATATGTATGATATCCAAATGTAAAGATAAAATATCCTATAATCGATTTAGTTTGCAATTCTATTATTTGATAAGACATTTGATATTTCATTGAAATACATTTTTTTTCTCATTGTTATTCATGATATTGTGAATTAATACCGTTTTACTATTCTTTCTTTAACTTAGTATTCTTATAATTAAAATTACGGTTTACATCGCGAGTTCCGCGATTTCCGCGAAATATTAAAATATGTAGTAACTTAATATTTTTATGCTGTTGTTATTTGTAAAAAACATAAAATAACGCAAAAAAGTTATATCATAGTGTATTTTCTCTGAGAAGTACACAAACAGTTTTCGCATATGCTTTTCTCACAGGCGGAAAAAAGGCAACACTGGTTGTAAGAAAAGCATAAGCAGAAGAATTCATACACATTACGTAAATATCTATTTCCTGGTTGGTTTCTCTCGATCCTTTGCGAGACAGATTAACTTTTTTAACCACATCTCTCGTGTAGCATGCATGCACAAAGTCGTGTAATTTGTACATTTTATATTTTATATTTTATAAATGAAATGTACGCGCGGTTTAAAACCGTTTCTTTCAAAAGAGTCGAACTGGGTTCGAGTTTTCAAGATGAGTTTTCAAGATGAATTCTCGAATTCTCGCAATTGGTGCGAGATGTTTTATATACACCTGATGAGGATAATTATAAAATTTTCGATTTCGATTTCAGTTAAACGAATTAAAATTTGTAGTTTGTAGGCTCAATTTGTAGCATCTGTGAATTTACAAATCGGGTATAATTAGATGATATCGCTAGTTCTCTCTAATTGCAATCATGGCGTTGCATTCGTTCTGCGGAATTACGGGAATGGAACGACAGGAAGCGCGACAAATCGCGCTTCGCGAAAATAAATGGCACGTATAACGTGCGCCGAACGTTGCCCCGAACAAATGGCCGCTGTAAACAGTTGTACGGCTCGTGCGAGCGAGCGAGTGGCGTCGGCGAGAAATGAAAACACAACGCGCGACGACGCGTTATTTCGTAGCCGGTGCAAAAATGAATGGCGCGAAATATGGGGAGGCTTTCGCTGGATGAGGATGAGAGACTGAAAGTCCGACAAAAAGTTCTGCGAAAATAAAAGCTGCGGAGCGTTGTTATGTGAAATTACGAGCTGTATGAAAAATAGGATCGTCGAGTATCGGATGACGGTACTCACTGGTTGTGTCGCGTTTTACAGGCGCAGGTACGTATGTAGCAGGTACACGTATGTACACCTGAGAGGAGAGCGAGATGATGACGTTTCGCGAAAATTGAAAAATAAAAATCAGCGATCGATCACCAATCGTCACCAATCGATCGCGACAAGTTGGAAGGAACGCCAAAGTCCAATTTTAAATAATAATTGATTCGGAGACTGAGATATAAATTTTCCGAATTTTCAACGACTGTCGAAAACTCGGCGCGACGAATACGCAGCGATACGTTTTCTCTCCGTCCGCGGAGACGTATCTAACATCCTACTTTATCCTTGCGAACCGCGTCTGACAAATAGTTCACTACTTTACAAAGCTTTCGCCCGGTCTTTCTGTCGTTTTATTGCGGCGCATTGTTTTATTGGCCTTCTCGTGAAATGTTTAGCGAAATGGAACTGGAAGTTAAAACTCACGGTGCGACACAATTTGCATAATTTCATCGACAGTCGTCTTCGCTTTATTTAGGCAATCATTGAATCTGTAGCAATTTAGTTATATTTGTTTTTACTAGTTAATTGTGTAAGATGTACTAAAATATGTTATTTTGGTGAAATACATTTTTTTTCCTTATATTCTAATTTATAAATATATATATATATATATATATATATATATATATATATATATATATTATAATACTATTAAATAAGAGCATAATAACATCCTTATTACAAAAATAAATTTTTATAAAAAGAGTTTCTACTTTCATAACTCTAATATTATATCTTAATCTTATAGTAAAATTATTAACAAATGATAAATTGTTTTGTTATATGAATTAATTCTATTAATGCAATATTCTTTCACGATAAAATAAATATTTTATTGTCTAATTTGAACTACAATAAAAGATCCCCATAAAGTTCACGTAGTAAATAAAACATACCTTAATCCAATTGCGTAAATTTGCCAACAAATAGGGAAACTGCGGTGAATTCCAGCTTTTACTATTGTTAAATTTATCGAATGCCGGATAAAGTTGAAAATGAGCCGGATAAAGCGGAAAATGTCGAAAGAAGAGCGGAGAAGAGAGATGCGACTCTCGAAAAGTCGGCCTTACCGCGGACTGATCGCGTGCAAAATAAAACACATAACTATCGTTTGGTGCAAGAATATCGCGCTGTCGTAAAGAGTTTTATAACATACCGTAAATGTATTAATTTACGTCCAAAGGATGCTGCTATAAAACCGCGATCGTTTCTACAAGCCAGACTTTAAGATTTATCCGAAAGAAATAAATCATTTGCACCATGTACCAGAGTGTGTCTTGTATATTTCTTGTACAAATACTTATTCATTTATATAAATGTTGCGTATGATTATCTGTATTACTTATAAATACAATATTTACTTTATATCTTTTAGTTATTATTTAACTTATATTTTTTTAGTTTATATCCTTTTCCATTGGAATACATGCCATCTTTTCCACAATTTTTGATACCGTATATCTAATAAGACGTTGCAGTAAATACGCCGTAGGATACAACCCACATATTTATTCTGGAAATGCGACGGTTTTTAACCAACTGTTTTTATACGTACGAGTATGCTGTACCACGAGATGAGATAGAGATAAATATGCAATATTATAACGGACGAAGACTCGAGGTTAACGTTGTAAAATAATGAGAAATATATAAGCTATTTTAAAATTATGAAGACACAGACAAACACGTGAAACTCCTCTTAAGCTCTTTCTTTTGAATATGAACATGACGTTAACGTCGGTCTATTAGATATAAATAGGTATCTAAAATTTTAGAGACATCAATATATATATGTTCATCGGATTACTATTAGATGTCTTCTTTCGCTGCATATAGTATCGCGTTGCCGTAATAAACGTTGCACGATACGCGAGAGAAATAAATGTCCAA